TGTTAGCTAGACTATTTGCTAGAAAGTAGCAATAGATAGTTATCTTAGCATTAGCCATCTAGTATAAATAGACGACTAGGTCTATTGTAAAAAGAGAGCATAAGTGCGTACGTGAGAAAGGTTTTTACTCTTTGTTTTAAGTTTCATTATTTAGTAAAACCTTTGAAGCTCAAGTTTGTTCTTGAATGTTCTTATTTTAATCTTGAGTCTTCATAACTTTCTTCGTAAAATCACTATAATTTGGTTATTCATAACTAGATTATTAGTGTTATTGAGAGATCTGGGATCAACACTTTTCTTTCCTAATATAACACATTTTAATCATGACCATTGATCAAGAAAATGGATGGATGAGATCGGTTTGTAGGGTTTGCACAAAAGGGTAGATTGCATTTGATCGCTCGTGTGTGTGTGTGTATATATATATATATATATAATATAGGCTCATTCAAAGGAGAACTGATTAGTGTGTGGTAACCATGAGACCCAATGTGAACCACTAGTTTGAAATATTTAAGGATATTTCTTTAATAAGCTAAAAGAGCAATATAGTAATTCGATCTTTGAGAACTAATCAAAATATTCAATTACAATTTTAGAAGGAAATATTTAATTGAAATTAGTTACCTACTATATCCATTACCTAATATACATCGTATTTTAAATATGTTTGTGAATCAAAGTGTATCATAGTGATAACATTCACAATATTTCACGTGTATCACAATGTATTTTATTTGTTTTATGAAATGTATCATAGTGTGCATTTTCGTTATTTTCATTGCTTTAAAAATAGTATCACATTGTGCATCTTGTATGTATATCTAAGAGCCTGTTTACTTGAGGCTTAATAGGCTTAATGGATAAATTGGCTTATTCGCACAGGCATTTTAGGGTGTTTACTTCGGGCTTATTCGCCCAGACATGGGCTTATTCTCCCAGATGGCAACCATGGGTTGTCCATATTAAGCCAAAAAAAAAGATACTCCTACCCTTCATTCCAACCCACGCCTCTCTTCTCCTCCAAGAATCGCTCTCTTCTCCTCCAAGAATCGATGCTATCTTCTCCTCCAAGAACCCTAATCGGCCGATTATTTGTCTCCTCAAATCAAGTCTCTCTTCTCCAAAGGTAACTACTTATCCTCTTTATCTATAGTTTATTTGCTTTTAGAACCCTAGCTGCTCGATTGGTGCTCAATTGCTGCTGATTTGCTGCTCGATTGCTGCTGATTTTGCTGCTGATTTGCTGCTAGTATATGCTTGATTTTTTTGGGTTTGTTTGATGCATCGATTGCTGTCGGCAACCATTATTTCAGAGCTACAGAAGAAGAAACAGAACAAGAAAGAAGAACAAAAAAGGTTGGATGAAGAGGGTGCTGCAATAGTTGAAGCGGTAGCATTGCAAGTCCTAATTGGTGGTGGAACAGGCAGTAAGCGGCCTTACATTTACAGGAGGAGTGGCAATGGAAATGGTTGGATTTTGAAGAATGGTGGATGGGGTGAAGATGGGTGTTTAGAGTATGTTGATGAGATATCTGCACAGGCTGTTTCAGGGCTACAGATTGCAGATGACGAAGATACGAATGGGTATGTTTACAACAGAATGGTGAGAGGGTGATGCATGATGCAATTGGGGTTATTTGATAATAAGATGTGTGTTTGTATATACTTTGGGGGTGTTTGTTTGTTTGTTGAAGAACAAAGTGTATTAGGGGTTGTTTGTTGTTATTGATCTCATATTCCAATAGATGAACAACAATTTACTAAACAGCCCATAGTTAATCCTCAAGGGTAAATTGGTCATTTCTGTTATTCAGACTGTTGATTCAGATAGAAAAGTAAACAGCAACATAAATTTATCCAGACAACTAAATTTATCCAGACAGACAAATTTATCCATACAGGACTTAATAGAAAATTTGGTAAACAGCCCCTAAGTATCACAGTGAATATCGTTTGTAGGTATCACAATATGTATCTTGTGTTCACGTAAGGTTCATCGGAATAAGGTTCGCCGAATAAGATTCATTGGAGAGAGGAAAGATGAGAGATGATAGAGGATTTTTATAAAATTCCTAAAATGCCCTTAATTAATATTTTAAGTTAAAATTACCAAAATTATTAATTTCCTAATTTAATCTCCGATTTGTGGTTGAGATTGAATCTCAAGTTACCACAAACAAAACAGTTCTCATTTGATTAGGCCCCTATATATATATACATATATAAAGAGAGAGATAGAGAGAGATAGAGAGAGATTTTGAGTGTTTGTAATCGAAGTTCATTGATGAAATAACACAAACACTTTTTCTTCCATGTTCTCTTTCTTTCTCCATAAATGAAATCTGATTCCAATATGGTAAAAGAGTGGTTTGATTCCTAACCTTCCCATCATTTTTTTCATTTTTGTTTCCATTGGTGATATTATGTACATTCTGCGCTCTACCATATTTTTTTTGGGGGGGGGGGGGGAATTGGAAAACCCTAAAACTAGCACACTAGGTTAAAACTCGAACAATGGGTCCTTCGACTTTTCCCATGACATAGTCGAAGGATTATTCACCCGCGTGTTATTCATGTCGCGGTCTTGAGCCTATGGGATTTCTCATGTGAACATTGCAGTGAGTTGTAAGCCTAACCTAAAGGTGTCAAAAATAACTGAAATTGAATAACCTATCTGAACCAAATACGAATTGGAAAACCCTAAAACTAGCACACTAGGTTAAAACTCGAACAATGGGCCTTCGACTTTTCCCATGACATAGTTGAAGGATTATTCACCCGCGTGTTATTCATGTCGCGGTCTTGAGCCTGTGGGATTTCTCATGTGAACATTGCAGTGAGTTGTAAGCCTAACCTAAAGGTGTAAAAAATAACCGAAATTGAATAACCTATCCGAACCAAATACGAATTGGAAAACCCTAAAACTAGCACACTAGGTTAAAACTCGAACAATGGGTCCTCCGACTTTTCCCATGACATAGTTGAAGGATTATTCACCTGCGTGTTATTCATGTCGTGGTCTTGAGCCTGTGGGATTTCTCATGTGAACATTGCAGTGAGTTGTAAGCCTAACCTAAAGGTGTCAAAAATAACCGAAATTGAATAACCTATCCGAACCAAATACGATTTGAGTTAAACCATTTCGGGCTATTCGGTTTTCAGCTTAAATGATTTGGTTAACCAAGCAAACGAGCCAAGTCTCATTGGATTTCTAGGGAATGGCTATGAGTTTTTCCCAATTAAATGCTAACAAGTGATGCTTAATATATTGAAGAGCTTCGATGTACTGGGGGTCGAAAGCAAATTCAATCAAAATGCGATTCCTTTTTTAAGGTCATACATTTCTACAAATGATACAATTTTCAGCTTCTTTCGATATGGGCCTCTTTTCTCGATGGTAAAACAACTGATTCCTCCATATACTCATCCTCCAAGTCACTGTCAACAACGATTGGCATTTTCTTCTTTTGTGGCTTGAGTTTTTGTTTTGAACATGTAGACGAGGCTCTAAAACCAGTACTCAAGGATATATATTTTTTTACCAGCTGTAGTGTGGCAACCTCATTGCCATCATTCTGATAAGTTGATCCAAGGGAAACCGTTACAACCATAGGTGGGGGTGAGATTGAGGATTTACCTGGTTGGTTCGGTGAGTCAAATGGAAACATACCACCATCATCAATGGGTTGAGCATCTTCAAAATCAAAGGTAAAATCATCCAAATGCTCATTATCTCTAACACTTCTCTTATTTAAGTCAAAAGGTATCTATCTTAGTGGTGGTATGGGTAGTTGGTTTTGAAGGTATTGGTGGTTGGTGTAATCATCGACGGGGTTAAGAAGAGTTGGAGTAGGGTTCAGTGGTGGAATAATGGTGGTGGTCAACAGTACTATAAGGGAGAGGTATAGAGGGTCGATGTATCACTTCAAATATAAAAGAAGGCAGTGGGTGAGAGATTGTGTTGGTCCTAGTCGGATTTACAAGAGTTTAAAGGTAACAGTTTGTAGAAGGAGGAAGGGACCAATACAAACGCAACAACTTTCACTTATTAAAATCCTTTATTGATAAAGAAGATCGATAAAGAATTTATAGATTGTTTGCGGAAAATATAAGATACAGAGCTTATCTAAACAATTAGATTAACAATATTCATCATTTGATTTGGTTTTGCTTTGAGTTACCAACTTTTGTTTCTGGTTTTGATTTGGGCTACCAAATTTTTCGATATTTACTTGTTTAGGTTCATTGATTTAGAAAATTTTAATAACCAAAAAAAAGGAAAGGAATTGGTAGTTGTTAAATTTCAAGAACTTGTAGTGTAAATGCAATCAAAGTGAAGGGTTTAGACCTTAAACTTGAATGCAATTTAATGACAGGAAACTCAATGATAATGAAACCTATGACCATTTATTATGGCTTATCGTTTCATATTCCGTGAAACCGTCGATGGGGCTTAGTATAAAATGAGAGTTTGTAGCTTTATGTGTAGTTTGGGGTCAAGAAGGAGAACTATTGTGAGAAAAGGCGACGGTGGACGCTGTAATGAGAGTTGACGGTGCTCTACATCGTAGCTAGTTTGGCACCAATCGGGGAAACGCTAGCCACTTCAAAGATCGGTTTGGGCTACGCCATGTATTGTGAGTTACACGTGATTTATTTTTAAAATGGTTGCATGCCTTATCCTCCACAAGTTGTTTGAAGTTTCTCGAGATTTTTGATATGCTATATATGCGTGAAAAGTTCGATATTTTTATAATATGTGTTTTGAGTATTTGTGTGTCAATGGGGATATACTATAATATGATTTTGTAAAGACGAGCATGCTTTGTGAGCTTGTCTAAGCCGTAAGTGCGGACATGCTGTGTGAGTTCGCCAGATAATGTTGTGTGAAGTAGACATCTCCTATGATGCTGTTGCTTTGTGATGTAGACACGCACTATAATATAGTTATTTTGTGAAAAATATTATTTTCATCAAGGCATGCTAAATTTATGAAGCTTCGTGAAAATTGTTATTGTAAAAGTTGTTGTTCATGCATGAAAACCGTGGATTCACTAGGCCTAAGGCTCACCCAAAACTCTTTTAAAACTTTTTTACCCATGCGGCTTTTGAGTGGAAAGAAAAGTGCAATAAAGAGAGATAAGGATTAACTTGAAAGAAGGATATGTGCAGATCAAGACATTGTTATATAAAGCAAAGTTATGCTCCTCAAGATTGTAATTTAGATGGTGATATAATTTGTAAAATTAGAAATTCTATTTCCGCTGCAATGTAAGTGTTTGATTTCGGGATACTAATTTTGATATATTGTAATATTTGAAATTTTGGGATGTTACAAAAATACCATACCCATATTACGTAACTTATATTTATGTTCCTATCCTATAGATTACTTTGAATTGGGAGCATCATTCTAATTTATGGTTGATCCAAGTTCCACTTCATCAATTTAACAATATTCATCATTTGATTTGTTATTGTAATATTGAATACTTGTATCGTTTTACTTTCCTTGAAGTTCATTGAATTATGGTAGAGTATTGATTGATTGCAGAAATCACTAATGTAAGTGCTCTCTCTTCACTTTCACTATGTGTGTTGATTTATTAATTGTTGAATTATTGTAGAGTATTGATTGATTGCAGAAATCACTAATGTAAGTGCTCTCTCTTCACTTTCACTATGTGTGTTGATTTATTAATTGTTGAATTATTGTAGAGTATTGATTGATTGCAGAAATCACTACTGTAAGTTCATTGAAAAGGTAGCCGATGAAAGTCGAAAATCGATTGAGTTTCTGGTAGGAGATTTTGTAATGTTAAAGGTTTCTCCATGAAAAGGTATAGTATGATTTTGGAAAAGAGGTAAGCTCGGTCCAAGGTACATTGGGTTCGTGGGCCGTTCAGAATCTGTAAACATGTTGGTTCAGTAGCGTATCAGTTAGAGTTGCCTAAAGAACTCGACGCTATTCACAACACTTTCCATGTCTCAAACTTGCGAAAGTGTTTGGTTGATTCGAACATGGTCGTACCACTACCTGAGGTGCATATTGATGCTAAATTGAATTTCGTGGAAACCTCTGAGGCCATCAACTAACCAGAAGACAAAGGTATTGTGGAATAAATTAATTAATCTGTAAGTATAGTGGTGTTTTCATAAGGCTCAAGAAGCTACTTGGAAGCAAGAGTCAAAGATAAGATCTAAATATCCTCAGTTGTTTAATGAATGAATTATGGGACCGAATTGTCTTGGGGGGAGGATAATATGATAACCGGGTTTATTGATTATAAAGTTCGGATTTGTTTTTAGTAAAGGTGGTAAGCTGAAGGGTTTGTTTTGTTAATATGCTTAAATACTTTTAAATCACCATCGCCTCCTATAATTCTTTATGATTTTTATGGGTTATTTGGGTCTTATCTCATTGGGATAAGGAGAAAAAGGAATTAAGAAAAAACAAAAAAAAGTTTTTGTGTGTTCTTAAAGGAAGAAAAGAGAACTGAAAGAGAAGAAAAAGAAATTGTTCTTGTGCTTCTTGTTCTGGATAACGGTTGTTGCATTTCATCTTCATATTTGCATCTCTATGTGATTCAAGGGGAGTTTTATTTACAAACTTTT